CCCCCCCCCCCCCCCCCCCTTTAAACCCAATTTATTTGCTATGTGTAACATTTCCTATGCATTTTACGTTCTACATCGACATAGCAGGAGATGTGTCTTCCATCTGTCCAACTCCTTCAATATTGGAATCAGTGTGAATCAGCCTGAAAAGAAGTTTCTGTTTGTCACAAATCATACTCACATAACAACTCCATTAATGGGCTTCTGCAGGATTTTCGGTTCTGTAGTTCCAGGCTCGGCCTACAGAGAGCAGAAACAGGAAAGATCAGTCATCGGTGACAACGGCATCATTACGCTGGATTGAATCATATAGATGAGATGAATGTGCAGTTACAAGAAGTGGTCACCAGATGGGGATCGTGCCGCCTCAAGTCGCTCTGCTGCCAGTTGTTCCCTACAAATATGCTGCAGTAATGACACCAGATGGGAGGGGTGTGAAAATGCCAGATTATGGGATGCAGTGTAATAACTAAAATAAACCCTTACAGTAATATATGGGTAAAAGAAGCCAAAAGTTTTCCAGTGTTTAAAGGAAAACTACACTGAGCAACACCAACTAGAATGACTGCATTATTAACCACACCAGTAGGTTAGCTGGGAATGTCTGATCCAGGAAAAAATGACAGACCCCATGAGGCAATGGAAACCTTCAAAAGCTTTGATGTAAGCTGCGCTGTCGATCATCGTGATGTACTCCATGCTACACAAATGTGGGCCTCGTGTAAGTGCAGCCAGTATAAGGACCTTGGCCAGTAGACTAGGATCCTCTGCTGTAAACAAGCAACCAGCTAATCAGTTATAAACCAGATCATCCCTATGTGTTTGTGTCATTAGATTGTGAGCTTCTATAGGGCAGGGGAGCACTGTCACTGGTTCTATAGAAATAACTGTTCCATGAATACTGATCCAATACAAACAAGGTTCCCTTTATCGTCCACACCAAAATAATAGCAGATCCGGTCTCCATTGCCAGTGCCGGCATTTATTACGTCAAAGTGAATTTCTTTTCTAGTCTGATGTTTCTTGTGTTTACTACGACGAATGTTCAATCGTCATTTAATGTGAAGGGAAAGAAAGATTGTAAAAATTCAGCCACAAGGTGGCGCCCTTACAGGGCTGGGAGCTTATGCAGCAGCTGAAAATGCATGCACTGCAAACCACGTAAACACACAATGAATAAAACATGGCTCCACGTTATTTCCTTTGACATGTCTGCTTCCAAACACCCGAGGCTATACAGGGCAAGGTATAAAAGAAAATAAACAGAAGAATTCCTGTAGGAAACTTGACATTTCAAGTTCTTTTTAAAAAAGGTGAGAATTGTAGATCAGCATTGTAGATAACCAAAAAGTTTATCATCTTAAATAAAAAGTTATTCCTCTTTGGGACTCTGGTGGTGAGATTTCTGCATTTTAAAGGCTCAATATCTTTGAAATTGTTAGGCAAAGGGGGGACCCGATGCAACAACTGCCCAGGCAAAGGGGGGGATGGGTTGGGGGGACCCCTTGCAACTGCCCAGGAAAGGGAGGGGTCCCCTTGCAACAACAGCCCAGGAAAAGGGGGGACCCATTGCAACAACAGCCCAGGAAAAGGGGGGACCCATTGCAACAACTGCCCAGGAAAAGGGGGGACCCCCTTGCAACAACTGTGCTGGTCACTGCACTGGGGTCACAACTGGCCCTGATGAACAAAACCTATTTTATATCAGGAAATGGTAACAGGTGAAAAAACAAACCTTCGAGCTGGGCAGGAACTACAGCAAGGAAGTAAGGCACAGATCCCTTACTGCCAAGGCCTAAAACTGAACTATAACAAAAGGTGAGCTGGCCATTAAAAGACTTTGGGGGACCTTTTCCCAGAAAGAAATGCCAAGATGGAGGAAAGACAAAAAAACATTTTAGGGCCCATTGGCACTATGTCACAGCAATGCATGATACCATTCAGAATGGCAGCACTGGGCACCTTGCCGACAGGTGTGTGTTGCAGCGTCCTGCCAGAAATATTACATGCACCTTTTTTGTTGCATTAGTCAGCCCCTGCAAATAAATTGCCCTATAATATTAGGCTATATTTGTGCAATAAGCCAGCAGTTCTGGAAGCATTTGAGCATACAAGGAACGATTTGCATGGCTCTGCTCACTATCTTATAATGAGGAATAAAAGTGAGACATGTATATATATCTGTCATATGCTCCAGCAGCTCCTCACTCTCAATGCCAGTCTATAAGTTTGCTCAGAGATATAAAACAACAACAAACTTATAATTGGCACAACTGATCTGACTACTCAGAAGCGCTTTAACATGCTAACCAACTACACATATAGACACCTACAGGAAGGACACTACAAATCATGTACAGGAGATACGATTGCTAACATGTAAGGGCAAAAATCCCATTAAGGGAGCATTCACATCAAAATCGGAAGGAAATCGCAAGTCAACTGTTTAATGGATGCCAACGTAAGGGCACTGAATAATAAATGGGCGTAAGTGGGGCAAGTTCACACCGGATCTGTTGCACTACTTTTTTTATTTTTTATTTTTAATTTTAAGAGCAACGCATGTTCCTTTTTTTCTTTAGCGCAATGTAATGCAACGCAATGGAATGGAGCAATGTGAACTAGCCCCATTCACACCCATTCATTTTTCGGTGCTCTTCCATTAGAAGCCGGATAAAAACGGATTGCGACTTAACGGATCAAATGTGAATTGGCCCTAAAAAATGACAAGAACTCCATAAGCATTCACTGAAAACACTGGATGGCTTCCATTTCACACACAAAGGGATGCATTGAGAATCTCCTCAAATGGACACCGTAGACCAGACTCTCCATGGAGACAAGTAGACCAGATGTTTATATGGAAGATGGATTTGTAACTACCTATAGCAAAGGGCAGACCTATAGATTGTGACTGGTACCAGGTTGTCACCAAAGGTCCCCAAGAAAGCAAGGCAGACCCAACACAGCCATGTTCACCCAACAAGTAGGCTTATAATACTCGTCAATCGCCACTCTCAATTCCTCACCTTCCGTTCAGGGTCCACTGACAGCGATGTAGAGACTGCGGTTCTGCCATCTGGGTCGCCCACACAGCTTTCTGAAGGACCGGCATCACCAAGGAGAACCTGGCCCTGTGAACAGACAGATGCAGATTAGTGAACAAACCTCAGGGGAGAAAACTAGTTCTATATTCCAGGAAAACAGTGGGGAAGAGACCCTGCTAGAATTCCCTGCGGAGCTGGCTGTCACCAGGCAGAGCAGGTCAACGCTGCGCTCACCTTCCCTGCTCGCAGCTGTCTGTAGAAGTCTGTGTGCTGCCGGATACGGTATTCCAAGTCAGAGACATGAGCTTGTAACCAGTTCCACCGACTGACAACATCTGCCCGCTCCCGAGCCCACGTCCACTCACAGCGACGTTTCCTGCAAGGACAAAAGCAGAAGAACCTTTTATTATCATCAGGTCAAAGAAACTCTGCTCCAGCCTAGAAATAAAATGTAAGCATGGGGAAATACCCGGACATTATAACCGAAGTTCAAGCAATAGGTGTCAAGAAAGCAATTATGAAGAAATGTATTTTAAATGCAACCAATATAAGCAGCAGCAGAATTTGATGCAGAGCAGTGCAGCAGACTGTGAGAAGGCCTTATACCGGGGTAGCCAAACTCTGACCCTCCAGCTGTGGTGAAAATACTAATCCCACCATGCACTGGCCTCCTAAGAGTCATGCATGTGGCTGCTAGTCTTGTAATTCCTTGTGGGATCTGTACTGGAGGACAAGGATCTGGATGTGCTGTCTGGCAGGGATGGCTGGATTACAAGGCTGGCTGAGGAAAATAGATCATTTTATGTTATCCAGTAAGAAAAAGGCAACAGATTCACATCAAAGATTGGCAAGAAATGGCTACAAACCAGCCAGTTTTATTATAACCTGTAATAGTGTGATAACACTAGATCACAGTGCATCAGCATCAAAATACATCAACACCCGCCAAAAATAATTAAAAATAGCTAATTGAAATAACCGGTTTTGCTGAATATATATGTTTAAATCCAGAAAAAAAACCTGCAGTACTTCCTTCCTGCCACAAGGTGGCCTCTGGTTATTGGGTTAAATGGCAGCCAGTATCAGTCTCACCCTACTGAGTCCCGGCTGTCATGGACCCGCCCCTAGCCTGCCATTGGACAGGAGCAGCAGCATAGTGATAAGCTGATCTCTCAGTTGCTTTCTCCTCCTATCTACATGTCAACACCTATCTGACTGGCTCCCTCGTGCTGCTTCCCCATTGCCCACACAGCTCTGCCGTAAAGTGAACTGTGTTGATTGAAGGTCTGGAAGACAAAGAAAGGAAAAAGAAAAAAGCCCCTGCACAAAGAGAACTAAGATTCCCAGCAGTGAGCTTAGGTCCTTACTCCTTGACACTAGGCAAACAACAGATGGTGGCGCTATAACATAATGGTCAAGATCTAAAGACCTCCGCTGTGTCTTAATAAAAGAAGGAGAAATAATATAACAATAAACACAGAGCTGCATCAATTTGCCTTTATATCTGCCTAGAGGTTTAAGTTTGAGATGCAGCCTATGGCCCGGGCTTTATTTTCCACATAGGTACAATTGTGATCAGAGTATGTGGTCTGGTGGAGGGTGACAGCCCGTGCCAAATGCACTATTTAGTAACCGGCCAACCAATACATCCCCATTTGATTTTACAATCTAACAAAGATCAAAGGGAAAAAAAAAAAAAAAAGGTCATCAGTCTCCGATTGGCAGATGGCGTATATCTCACACGGTTGTGAGCTTGTATACATCTACTAGATGACGCCGGAACACCGCTGCTTTCTAGAATGTCCCGGCCATTGGCTGACCTGTATTCATGGTCAGTCCCAATCAACAAGCGATGACGCAATTCTAGAAATTACAACTACGTGCAGACAGTCCGTGAATTGGGTGCCTGCATGCAGTAACACAGGGCCATTAAAACACTCAGACGGCTCGGTTTTTCTGTCACAGCCAAAAATATTCTGCAGCGTCATGCACAACCTGAAGATGAATCATCACTGCCGGAAACACAATGAAATCACCAAAAGGAAAAATCAAGCCTGCGAAACTCTCAGAAAACACATACCCGGTGTTATTAAATGATCTACCTGTTCATTACAGCCAGAGGGAGCAACACAGAACAGACGCAGGGAATTAACATAACAGTGGGTGATATGCATTACGCATTTTATTATGGGCTGCAGTCAAATCAGCAGTGGGGTGTATGAATCAAGTGCAAGGGATCAGTGATTTCCCATACGGTGCAGAGAATGTGGGAACTCCACAGCCAGATGTTCAGGTTCCGGACCTGCGACAGGCCCAAAAGACCACAGCATGTTAGGCCCGACGCATCAATGTGTTCTAAGAACAGAAATTAGCCAGCCACCAATCAGATTCTTATTGGCTCTTAGAGAGAGATCAAAGCCGATTGGTGGCTTTGAGGCAGAAACTTCCTTTCTTAGGGCGAGAAGGAGATGTAGACACGCCACAAATCTATCTGTCCCCAGGTTCTACTCAAATATCCCTGAGCTTTCTGGATCACACACATGCAGAGGGTAAGTGGGAGATGTGGGACATCTGAATCTAAGGTAAAGGGGACCCTAATGTGATCCCTTAAAACTAGGGATGCAGAGATACCGGTTTTTCGGTATTGAGTACCAATATTTTTTTTTTCCCAGGACTCACAGATCCCGAAAGTCCCATTAAGGAACCCGGGCGGCGTGTAATGACTCGCCACCATGGCTTTCCAATTAGCAGGGAAGCCGTCTCCATGCTCCTTTGTCACCAGGTGACGAGGAAGCATAGAGCCGGCTTTCTGGCCAAGCAGGAAGCCGGGCAACGCATCATTACATGGCACCCTCCTTCCTGGTTGGCCGGGAAGCCGGCTCCATGCTACCTTGTCACCAGATGACGAGGGAGCATGAAGCCGATTTCTAGCCCATCTGATGCCCGGCATCCTAATTGGCCGGGAAGCTCCATGCTTGCTCAAAGTGACGAGGGCGCATGGAGCTGGCTTCCCGGCCAATCAGGAAGCCGGGCAGCGTTTAATGACTCGCTGCCCCGCTTTCTGATACCAGAAGCTCACGTATCGGACCAGGCAGTACTCACCCAAATACTCGGCATCCATACTAGTATTGGTGCATCCCTACTTAGAATCCATACCACACCCCTTTCTCGGATAAGGGTCTGGTATAGATTGTGTAGGGACCACACAAGGTTTTTTTTTTTTTATTTTAGACTGGGGTGCCTCAAGATTTTGCACACAATAAAAGGGTGCGGAGACAGAAAAAAAAGGTTGGAAACATTGTTCTGACCTATCCACATATATGCTCTATCAGCAGGAATCGACTGGACTGAAAAGGGATAACACGGGCCCATTTGACCATAGTGCCTAGCCTGGAAAACTCATCTCATGTATGGACAGCTCAAAGCAGACTGTGAATGTAGGAAAACATGCAGACAGGACCATTCAATGCGTTGTTTCTCTTGAGTACAGATCCTGCCCCTCAATAGGCAACTGTTTAGATCAGGGATGTCCAAACTCCGGCCCTCCAGCTGTGGTGAAACTACAAATCCCATGAAGCATCTCTCTCCCTGAGTCATGTCTGTCTAAGAATCTTGCAAAGCCTCATGGGATTCGTAGTTCCACCACAGCTGGAGAGCCGCAATTTGGACATCCCTGGTTTAGATACACCTAAAGAAGCTGTGTTCTTCACCAGTGTCTGCAGAAGAACGACGGTATGTACTGCACTGACTAGGGGCAATACAGAGTGTCCTCAATAGCTGTTCCTCAGGCACATAATAAATAAGGTTTAGATGGGAGAGATGAGTCTGCTGATTTTGTGCAGAACTCATATTGGCACACAGAAGAAAACACAATCACAATGAATATGCGATACAAACACTCCACAACAGGAAGCTAGAACGTTGCCAAAACCATAAACTATTACGGTCTCTACTTCCTGCTCTGCAAATGATCTTAAAGGGCACAGATCACATGAAAATAAAGTCAGAAAAGAACCATCCATGTTCCTGTACTGACAAAGTGTATAGAAACCCTGAATCTATTGTTCCGTGATTTGGGAATCATACCTCACTGTACACAGTTTTAGACATCACATTTTATTTTGAGAACCTGCTACAATGTTTTTTTTACCTGGAGATCCTGCCAGTAACACTTCCCATTGCAGGCTGACCGCCATAAGCCAAAGCTTCACTGTTAGCAGCAGCGTTGTCAGTGGACCATTGGGCTGCCCAAAAGATAAAGGTAAGTAGCCCAAAGCCCAACTGAAGACCCCACTGGGCAGGCTGACAAGTCTGCTGCAAATTGCAAGGAAGCATCTAAGTGTTTTCAGTCTGCAACAGGAAGTTCTGAAACTGGTACCATTACCAGGAGAAAAAAAAAAATTCACAAAATACTATTTGCTTAACCTCTTGCCGCCCGCCCGTAGTAAAAAAACGGACGGACGGCACTGCAGCATCTGCGGGTTGCCGTCTCCAGACGGCAATTTTTTTCTGCTCGCGCGCGCCCCCTAGCGGGCACGCACGGGCAGAAAAGACCCGCTAAATGCACACACCCGTTACCGGGAGAACGCTTGGTTTAAAATCAGCTAAATACACTTTTGTTTTGAAGCACCTGGAATGCAAGTGTATTTTATTTTCTTTAGAAAGCAGCTACAGCCTTAGCAAAACAAATAAAAAAGGAGTCCCCCTTTTAGCATGCTGCAGAGTGAAGCCATTGTTCTCTCTGGGAATCAGTGATCTCTATGCAGGGATCCAACACACTCCCCGTCAGGCACACAGGGATCCTACAAGGAAGTGTGTGGAGGGCAGGGTGGGTCAGGCATACAGGGATCCTACAAGGAAGTGTGAGGAAGGCAGGGTGGGTCAGGCATACAGATATGAGGACCTGTATGGATGGCAGGGGGGGTCAGGCATACAGATAATATGAGGACCTGTATGGATGGCAGGGTGGGTCAGGCATACAGATAATATGAGGACCTGTATGGATGGCAGGGTGGGTCAGGCATACAGATAATATGAGGACCTGTATGGATGGCAGGGTGGGTCAGGCATACAGATAATACAAGGAAGTGTGAGGAAGGCAGGGGGAGGGGGGTCAGGCACGCTAGGATACTAGAGGGAAGTGTTGGCGCTTTGCTCGCCAGAAGGGTGAAACATTCAGAATAGCGGACCCCCTCCCCCGCAAACTATAGATTTCCTGAAAGCAGAGGATCTGCAGAACATAGAAGCTATCTGTAATGTATCAGTTCTCAGAATATGGAGCCATTTCTGAAACATTATTTCATTCGGAAAAAACAAAAAAAAACAAATAAAACATTTTAATGCAAATAAAGCCATCATAATCTCCAAAGAGAGCGG